GTCAAGGCAGGGCCCCCCAGGCTTGCTCGCCAAACTGGCTGCGCAGCTCCTTAATGAACTCGAGCCTTTCGGGCCCCCTATATCTCATGGATTCTTCTCCGCGCGGATACGACTGACAGCGCCCCCGCCCAAATCGAATCGTCAGGCGGCGGGTGCGTCTTACTGCGTTTCCGCGCGGAGTGGAAGTTCGACGGCAGACTCAGGCAATCGAACCTTCACGGACACAAATCTCAGGGCCGGGCCATTCGCTCCACGATCTTCTCGACAGCCTCTACCTCCTGCGCAGCACTTCGCTGCGTCGGTCGGCCCCGGCGGTCCGCCCCACATCGCGCGCCTCCCGCCAGAGCCGCTTGCGACCAGGCGGGAGGGCTCGGCCACGTGCCTGCAGCCGAGGCGTCTGGCATCCCCCGCTCGCCGTCTACGGCTCGTGCCCCACCATGGACTTCCAGTGGTCCAGGGCGTCCTGCTGCCTGGAGTAGGCCCGCTTCTTGCGGGCACGCTCCCATTCCAGCTGCTCGCCCCGCTGGTTGAGCACCTGCCCCGCGCAACGAGAAAGACCAACGTTCGCTCTCTCGGCGAGCTTCCTCGGAGCCTCGAGCGCGCCCTTCCCCCCCGAAAAAGTAAGCCCAAAGAATATCCCCAACAGCTTAAGCGCAAAATGCAACACGTTTTCTTCAGGTTACCAAGGTAAACTAAGAGGATAGGATACTAAAAGGTTAGCAAGGCAAAAGGTAACAGTAGGAAGCACAATGAAATAGACTTGAGGTATGATGAGGTTTCCTTGACTGTCGATTCGGGCCCCGAAACCGGATTCGGGGCCCGAATGGAGAATAGGAGGAAACTAAGAGAATAGAATAAGGTTAGGAAGTTAAGAAGGAACCACAACTGAATAGACTTGAGGTATGATGAGGTTGCCTTGACTGTGGATTGGGGCTCCGAAACCGGATTCGGGGCCCGAAACCGGATTCGGGGCCCGAAAGCGGGTTCGGAGCCCGAATGGAGAACAGGAGGAAACTAAGAGGATAGGATACTAAAACGTAAGCAAGGTAAAAGGTAACAGTAGGAAGCACAATGAAATACAATTGAAGTATGATGAGGTGTCCTTGACTGGCCCGAAAGTGGATTCAGGGCCCGAATGGAGAACAGGAGGAAACTAAAAGGATTCGGATAGGGTACTAAAAGGTTAGCAAGGCAAAAGGTAACAGTAGGAAGCACAATGAAATAGACTTGAAATATCATGAGGTGTCCTTGACTGTGGATTCGGGGCCCGAATGAAGAACAGGAGGAAACTAAGAGGATAGGATACCAAAAGGTTAGCAAGGTAAAAGGTAACAGTAGGTTGAGGTATGATGACGTTTCCTTGACTGTCGATTAGGAACCTTGCGGGAACCTTGTGGGAAACTTGCACCCGTTGTGGGAACCTTGTGGGGGAACCTTGGAGCAAAGCTGTGGGAACCTTGGAAGAACCTTGTGGGGCAAAGTTGTGGAACGATGTTGTGGGCACCTTGGGAGCCTTGTGGGGCAGAGTTGTGGGAACCTTACCTTGCAAAAAAGTTGTGGGAACCTTGTAGGAACCTTGAAGCAAAGTGGACAAAGTTGTGGGAAGCTTCTGGGAACCTTGCAGCAAAGTTGTGGGAACCTTGTGGGAACCTTGGAGCAAAGCTGTGGGAACTTTGGGGCAACCCTGGAGCAAGGTTGCGGGGACCTTTGGTCCCTTGTGGAACCTTGGAAGAACCTTGGGCAAAGTTGTGGAAACCTTGTGGGAACCTTGGGGGAACCTTGGCCCTGGTGGGAACCTTGAAGCAAAATGAGCAAAGTTGTGGGAAGCTCCTGGGAACCTTGCAGCAAAGTTGTGGGAACCTTGCGCGAACCTTGGAGCAAAGCTGTGGGAACCTTGGGGCAACCTTGGAGCAATTTTGTGGGAACCTTGGGTGCTTTGTTGGAAGCTTGTGAAGCAACATTGCGGGCACCTTGGGGGAACCTTGTGGGGGAACCTTACGGGCGCAACAAAGTTGTGGGAACCTTGGAGCAAAGCTGTGGGAACCTTGGGGCAACCTTG